ATATGGTAATTCAAATTCATTTTGATTGCTTGGAATATTAAAAATATTCAAAACTGACATATGATTTTGAAGAATGTCTTCCTTAGAAAGGGAACTATGCGTATAAGTTGGATTACTACTTGTAGAATTAAATCCAAGTCCCTCTAAAATACATTTAATATAATGAGCCTTACAAACAAAGACAATGTTGTTACCTGCTTTATCAGCAGGGACCAGTACGTACTGATCATGTAATCTATCTAATTCTTTTTTCACTTCTGGATTACTGAATACAGAAGGATAGATGGTTCTCATATGGCCCCTCAATCTTTTAATGCGCGATTTTAACATACATCTGATACATTTAATCAATTCTGACAGTCAAGGTCCTCTATTTCATGTCTGGCCCATTGTCTGGCGTAATCCTCTACAGAATCCATAATATTTATGAAATTCCGACGCCAGTTGAAGGATCGGGGTTCCCTATATTTAGGACCTTTTAAAATTAGTGATCTAAGGTCCTCATTATTAACTATATTTACGTCACCAGTAATAACGTGTCCAGCAGGACTATAGTTATAGGATGAAGAAGACCATGAACACGATGGGGGATTATGTTTCAGATATTCGATATCCAGGCCCTGTAAAGTTTTCTTGTAATTAAAAAGTTTGGAAGCAATAGTCGATGTATATTTGTAGGAAATACAAGGTGTAGTCTTTAACTTGAAATATGATGGAATACAAGACTGGATTCTTTTGTGATTAAGAGTATTACTTATATTAACCGCGTCAATTCCTTTGTTGGCATATTGAAGTTTAAGGAAAAAACGGATTGTTTTAGCTGCATTTTCTTCAGTAAAACGTAGGGGTTTAAAAAGCCTATGACTTGCAATATCCATAATCACAGATCCGAGCCTATATTCTGGTGTCGAGGAATCAAAAAATGGACTTTCATTGACCTTTTCAAGAAGACTATTTAAAAGTTTCAAAGGACAGAGTAAAGTTTGGTGCGAATATGATATAGACCTAACTGTTGATTTACGTAAGGTAGTAATGAATCAAAAGAGACATCGTGTATTAAAGGTTTATTGTAAGACCGATGTCCATGACTACGCTTACGTCTCTATGTATGGTTAAAAGTCTCATCACATTTACATTGTTACACTGTGGACTGGAAAGATTTCCAAAACTATCGACATTGTCATTACATCCATAGGGAAAGGCTGTCCCTAACTTTCTAATCCAAAATTCTTCTCGTTGTCTACGGAAAGGTGTGCATAAATGTACTCAGTAATGGACTGTTTGTCTTCTAGAATTCTAACTTTCATTGACAAAATGGAATGATCAGGTAAATTAAAATGTTTGCATAAAAGTTGCTGACCCCCATTATTTATCTAAAATCTATGACCTGATATTCTTTTAATGAGCGATCCCTTGGTTTCACCAACATAAACAGATTTTTTAAAGACCATGCATCAAAGGTACCATAACTTTATTACACGTCATAAGTTGGAAAGCAATATTTTAATAACCATATTTGTAAGAGATCCAGTGAAAAAAAGAGACGCAAGATTGATTGATTGATTGTCGTCCCGGTCAAGAATTTTTCACTCATATAAAGACGTCACCATAAATCGGTAAAGGGCTTCAAATTTAGACCTTTACTCGGCACTTAGGACCATTGAGCAATGAGGGTTCTTTATAGTGCCAACGGCTACCAAGACACAGGGCCTCGGTTTTTGGGAACCGCAACTTTCACTTCAAAGTGCTTAGGTCAGTCGCGGCCGTGATTCGAACACAAGACCTTCCGATCACGGAGCGAGCGCTCTATCGACTGAGCTACTGTGACGGTAAAGAGACAGGAAGTCTGACAATCTACTTGATGAAAAGAAGGAATAATAATCTATGACAAAGGTCATTTCATTTGGAATCAGAATTATATTATTTATGGTTTGTAATGATGTTTTTCATATTCATACTAGGTTAACAATTTATCAAAAAATATTTTATTAACGAGCAGTTTTATTTTTAAAAAATAATTCAGAAATCATTGTGTAGCATTTTATTTTTTCTAAGCGTGTCAAACATAGGGGGAATAAAATTGTTTCTGATGTTTATTTTCTTCCTCATTTGGTCTCCATTGTCAGGATACCTGAAAATAATATTGGTAGAATGCTGAACTATATATTCTAAATAACTGTTTTTTTCTGTACAAAACCGACCTCAATACCAGACAGATTTTGAGGAACCAATTGTCAAACTGTATTTTTTTTTGTAGAATTTATCAGATGGTAGTAAATACGTACGGTACAAGAATTAAAATACGATACATTGAAATTTTGTATTTACTATCATCCCGTCAATTTAAAATTTACAATTTGACACATTTCTAAGGAATGCAATTGATAATAAGATATTGAATTTATGTCTTCATCAAGATTATCTATTTACTTTTTTATAGTGTTTGCAGTACATTAAGCGGAAACTTCATTATAAACAGATCCATATACAGTACTTCAACGCAGGAAACCAATCACCAAGCCACCTCAGTGGGTAAATATATAAACAAAGTCAGGCCTATAGACTTTTGTTAAATAAGCACAAGTGAAAAAAAGGACAAAAAAAGAACAAGCATACGCTTCTTTTCCTACCCAAGGGAAGTTTTCATTTTATTATGATATTTGATTGGCGCCAAATGAACAAAAACATGAACATTAACCTCTCAAAATAACAAAACAAAAAAAAAAAAAAAAAAAAAAAAAAAATGTAGAATAAAACATTTTGATGTACAATACATTATCTGATATGATTTTTCTAATTAAAACATATCTTGTTGAACATAATAAATTGATTTAGACAATGAGATTGTCATTTTTAATACAAAGAAAATGAATATAAAAGCACATGATAAACCAACAAACAAAATATAAGTGAGAAGAACCATAGGTGTGACACAGAAATAATGCAATGAAATATATGAAGATAACGATCAGTATTCAAGCTCAAAAGTCCATTCAAACAATACAAATCGGGAGCAGAGCAAACACGGACCTCTAAAACATCAGAGGTGGGATCAGGTGTCATGGAGGAGTGAGCATCCCCTGCCGACCGGTCACGCCCGCCGTGTGCTCCTTGTCCTGATCGGGGAATACGGAAAAATCCGTCGACAATTCAGTGTGTAAATAATGGCCTAACAATTAGTATGAAAGACGTCAGTCAGCATATGACTTAATGATAGATTGTATTTGTTGCAAGAAAAGGAGCTGATCATTGTAATCGTTCAAAGTTTTCAATATATGTAGATATTACGACCTTTAATAATATTTGTACTGTTTTGGTGGCCAGAACAGAACCATTTTAATATCCAAAAATTCCTTTGTTAATACTATAAAATACTAATAATTCTATTTTTATTTATTATTACTTTTACTATACAAAGATTATTGCTCTGTGATCAATAAGAAAAAATCATTCCATTTCCATAAATTAGACTGATTATGTTATAATGTAAAGTGAACTTTGTCACATAAATCTTGCAATTTTTTTTTAATCAGGTTAATTTTCTGATCTATTTGATATTTTTCATATTTTATAAAATGGCTTAGAAACAAAAATTCAAGCCATTAAAAATGACAATGCTAAAGTTTAACAAGCATTCTGAGAGTATTGCATTAGCAATACTAGTCCCCTACCGGCAAGTGTAATCTGGTTCCCGTTAAAAATTGAAAATGCCATAATTCCGTCAAAAATCATTGAAGCGGGACGAAATGCAAACTTGATCTATAACTAATAAAGGTAAAGTCACATACCAAAAATCAGCTCAATATCTGAAAGAGTTAAGAAGAAAATTGCGGAAAACCCCTAAAAATTGAAAAGGCCGTAATTCCGTCAAAAATCAATGGAGCAGAACGAAATGCAAACTTGTTCTGTAACTCATCAAGGTACACTCACATACCAAAAATCAGCTCAATATCTGCAAGCGTTTAGGAAAAAAAGTGCGGAAAACCAAGTGGGACAGACTGACAGACAGAGGGACAGACAGACAGACGGACGGACAGACGGACGGACAGACTCAGAGGAAACCTATAGTCCCCTCCGGTTTCACCGGTAGGGGACTAATAATGTTAGTCATCTCTCCTATAAAGGTCATAAACAATTAAAGAAAAGATTAAGAAATGTAAATAAATAAAAAAAAAATCTCTAACGCACAATATAATGATCGATACTGTACATCTTTGAAATCCATCTATAATGTCGATCTGTCTTGAACGACATATACATTTATACTTTTGAAGAATGACGTGAACTATCCTGATGTAGTCTTCATAGATTAAACTTTATCTGGAGCCTTGTTTGTAGAAATACTACCTTAAAAATCAAATAGAAGTTCTCTTAAAACTAAAAAAATGAGGTGACGTGAACATATCTTAATGTTAAAAAAAAAGTAATCTGAAAGTTTAATGTATCTTTGCTCATACAGAAGTCCGAAATATCTGACATTTTCCAGTCCTTTTCCTGCCACGCTAAATATCAAAATCGTGAGAAACGCCTGGAAAACGTCAGATATTTCGAACTGCTTATACAGATATGAAAAAAAACAAGGAATGTGCGTTTTAAATATCTTAGAAATGTAATCATTATATCCTTTTAATACCATCACCTTTGTACATGATTGTATGTTGATAATTAGTACACTGTTGTACACTCATCACCTTTGTACATGATTGTATGGTAATAATTAGTACACTGTTGTACACTCATCACCTTTGTACATGATTGTATGGTAATGATTGATACATTGTTATATACTCATCCTATTTTTTCTTCCTCTTAGGATGTGTTTTGTCGGTGACTTATTACTAGAAAGACCTTTTTCACTTTAAATAACATTTGCACTCATCCAGTTTTAGGTCAGTAGATTTTTTTTATTGGCAGTTACAAAAACTTTTTATGACAAGGCAATTTTTATAGAAAAATCGTTTCTTCAGAAATTAGGTTGATAGTTTATGTAGTCATGGTGACACAATCATGACGGGTTGTAAGCCTTGATTTTGTTGCTTTTATGATACATTGCACAGAACAACTTTGAAATAGTATCGAAGGTCAAAAAGGAAGAGAAAACTCTTGTCATTCTGCCCACAGGAACATCAAGGTACTTTACACAAAATATTCCGATATCTTATTTGGTGGATATTGTGTGATGGAGATGATGATTACAGAAAGGAAATATAAATTCACTGATTAGGAATTTTAAGCAGTTTTGAAAGGAAATAGTAATAACAGAAATAAAAATACTTACAACGGGGATATGGAATACACATTGAGTGTCCCAGTGTGTTTGGTACTTGACGGCAATCGTTGTTTCATAAAACCAGGAGCCTAATTTTAGCAAACACATACTAGGATTGTACTCACAAGGCAAGAGATAAGCAAACCTTCTGTCATTCATCAAACATTCATGTGACTTATCAAATCTATAAATTTCTTAGATAGCTGATTAGCGATTTCACTGGATTGAAGAATCGACAATGGAAATATATGTTTGTCTTTTATTCCTGTCTGTTTGTCTGTCCGACATGCCTGTTATCGCTGACGAAGGATGCTGTGGAAAGGCACAAGCTGGTCAATGCCCGTAATTCATTTTATTTTTCTGAGATTGGAAGATTAATTTATACATCTTTTTACATAAGAAATTCAAGAGAATGCACTTATCAATAACTATCTTTCAGAAAATGCTGCAACAACTATTATTTGGTCGACGGAAATTGCTCTGGTTCGTTTTCTTTTGAATTTTCATATCATCACTAACCCAAAGTCATTTCACCGAACTGCATTTTTAAAATCAATTTCATTCGTAAAATGATAAAAAAAAAAATCCCCCAATTCTCTGTGTACTTCAGTTATCTAGAGAATAATATTATGATTGACAAATTTTATTTTTTTTTTTAAGAATGTGAGCCCGGATTCTTTGGGGAGAATTGCTCCGATGTATGTGTTTATCCTTATTTTGGCCTCAAATGTTTACAGGAGTGTCGATGTGACAAGCATCTATGTGACCCAGTCACGGGCTGTCATGAGGAAAGTACCAGTAAGTCATCTCTGGTTTCACCCAGTGAAAAAAAAAACTACGGAGTTAAAAAAAAGTTACTCATCAAAATTCAGATGAATCAAATTAACTTGTCAGAAATATTTTAATGCGAAAAATATTTTAGTTTGATAAAAAAAAATTGACCACCAGTTAAACTCTTTTATGTTATAAAATCATTAATACATTTTAAATCTATTTCATTTCATAAAAAAAATTACAAATACCATAAGATTAATATTTAATTTTATGATTGAAAAAATCCTTACTTCCTGAGATCCAACATTGTAGAAATCATACGAAGTTATGATGAGACCTTATGCATGAGACCTTATAGGTGAACATACCATTTATTTTTCTCTACATTGAATTAGAAAAAATAGATAAGTAGCTACCATGTTGTTGTTTCAGTTATGGAAAGTTATGTTCACCTGCACCCGACTTCCAGGTGAACATAACATTTTTTTTACTACAGATTTGCACTTAAAATAGATAAAAAAAAATTTCTAAATTAATACCACTGGTATGTCCCGCTTCTCTTCAAAGGAATTCAACAAAATGTAAACAAACAACAAGGATGGCAAGGTTTGTTTCATTTAATCATTGAATCGTATAATAAAACAATTTTTGTTGTTTATTTCATCCAAAACGACGTCTCCCTCGAAGTACAAAATTCACATCGCCCTTCGGGTTCGTTGAATATTGTACTCCCCAGGTTGCAATATCATCGTACTGAACTCAAAACAGCTCTTACTGTATATTATGAGAAATTAAGGGGAAACGTTTTAATTTTCCTTTTTGAAATAAACATTCTGATTTACATATAATAATTAAGCTTGTTTATCAAGAACTCGATTATAAATGATTCATCATACAAGCTGAAATTATAACGTACATATATGAAAACTATTTTTAAAAAACGAAGACATATTTCTAACGTATGTTCTACATATGTTAAACAAATAAAGGTTTAGCACACATATTTGTCTCTTGCTAAACAAAGTATGAACATATGTCAATTTTGACATTTGCAGATATATTCAATTATGAGACATATAATTAACAAACCTTTACGAGCATGAGTTCAACAATAATTATAGTGATAAAAATACTTTAAAATTACCTTGAACAAGTGAGTAGGAGATATAGTAATAATAAATATTCATTTGAAACCCTTTTGTGAACACAGGTTGCATTTTTAATTTTTACCAAGTATTTTTACTATTAAGCACAAGTCGCCCACGTGGCGCAGTGGTTAGAGCGTCTGCTCTAGAGTCGTGGAGTAAGGAGTTGATCCTTTCGTCGCGGGTTGGAATCCCACCGGGGGCCGTGGAGACCGGTCCTTCGGATGAGACCGTATAAACCGAGGTCCCGTGTCGCAGTAGGTGTTGGCACGAAAAAGATCCCTCACTGCTCAATGGCCGTGAGTGCCGAGTATAGGTCAGAAATTTGCAGCTCTCCACCGGCAAGTGGTGGCGTCTCCATGTGAGTGAAAAATTCCCGAGAGGGACGTTAAACAACAAACAAACTATTAAGCACAAGCAGTACACGGGTTGAACATAGATTGCAATATTAATATTTAAGGAGGTAATGTGTAAGGAGGATTGTGGATTTCTTCCTACCACTTCTCTATCTGCCTTCTCTGTATCATCTTTGTAGAAAATCGGCAATAAAGAACTCGGTTATAAGGAAGTCTCTATTCAAAGGAGATGAAATGAAATTAATTTATTAAAAAAAAGAATTGTGTGTATAGATCTCACCTCTCAAATGGGTGGAGATTGATCACGTGACACAGATCTCTGACGATAATATTAAGCTTCGAGCTAGTTCTTTATAACAGCTGATGCTTTTATCCAAACGTTGCATTCACCCTATATATGTCATAAAGATTCATTTTTATCCATGATTATAATATGGAAATAAACTCGCATCCTCAAGAGAATTTACAATGTCTCAATAAAAGTCTAATTTTTTACAATCAACTTTAGCAATATCATTACTGTTCAAGGATCAGTATATCCATTTTAAACTTGAAGTTTACAAAAAATCTAAACATATAATTTCAGAACTTTTTTTGTTGGTGTACGTGACGATAAAGTAATTCTTCGAAAATTAAACGTTAGGCGTCGTGTGAAGTTTAGTTTAAACTGTAATTTTCTCCTCGCCACTTCCTGTAAATTTTACAGTAATATTTCATGCTGCTTGCGATAACAATTTTATTGTACTTCATAGGCTTTAGCATTAATTCAAAGAACCAATTTTTTGCAGCAAAAGGCACCACAAACACATCAGTTAATCTGACTGAATTTGGACACAAAACTGATGAAAATGTTCAATGGATGACCAATTTTATTGACAGTTCCCATCTACAAATAGTTTTTACTGTCGGTGGCGTGGCGCTCGGATTTTGTATTCTTACAATAGTATTACTTGTAATCATGATTATTCGAAGACAGCAAACCAGTCGAGATCTGGATGTAGAATATCACGAACTACAGATGTTAGGTCATCACAAGGAAAATCTTGAGCGGAAGGCTACTCCCGTGGAAATGAACACCTATAGAAGCATAAGAAAGGTGGCATCCAAACCAAGATCTTCTGACAACTCGAGCTCTCATTGTTATCAAGATATACAAGAATACATGAGTATTGATGGAAATGCTGAAATACGTGACACAGAAAAAAATGACAAAGGTTTGTGCGAGTACCTAAAAATGGAAGATCCTTCAATGACAGACGATGGGTATCAAATCCCCATCGTCAAAGAGGCAATGTTATCAAAGAATTAGCATATGAATTAATAAATCTCCTAAAAAAAAATGAATTTTCGAATTAGGTTTTACTCTTAAAGAAAAGAAAAATAAATATCAGGTTTGACTCTTACAGAAAAAAAGAAAAATATTATTTTTTCAAAAGTGAAGGCATTCGTGATTTCATTGCAAAGTATTTCGTTGTACCTCTTTTGCAAAGTCATCTGATAATATACGTCTGACTCCCCCATCCTCACCCCCAAATATTAGTTTTATTGAGATTTTGTAGTTTATTTCCTTTTTGAAAGATCTGAAATGTGACACACACATATATAAGTAGGCTTTCTTTAGGTGCATCAAGCCTGACTCTTGAAACGGTGCTCAGTGCGAAAATGCCAATGCGTTTGTATGAGTTAAATACATCATATTGATACATCAGACTTGTTATGGTGATATGCCTGGTTGTGTTATGTCAGCATTGTAAAACGTTTTTCAGCATATATGTTGACATTTTGAAAATTAGAAAAGCAGTATCCGTTAAATCCATTTATATGCATAATTGATACAATGTCATTTATGCTATACATTTGTTGTCATATTAATGTATGAATACCAATATGTTCATATCATTGCTTATTCAGTTGTAATACCCAGTCATAAGGCATTAAGTTATTGACAAAGTATTAATGTTCTACGTTAGTGTTATATCTATCTATCTATCTATCTATCTATCTATCTATCTATATATATATATATATATATATATATATATATATATATATATATATATATATATATATATATATATATATATATATATATATATATATATATATATATATATATATATATAAGTTCTTTAGTCCTTATAATGATTTTGCGTGCATATACATGTACCACCTGTTAGACTATTGTTAAAACTTACTTTGATTACGGAGACAGGGGATGCTTACTCCTCCTAGGCACCTGATCCCGTCTCTGGTGTTTCCAGGGGTTCGTATTGTTTTGGTCCTCTTCACGATGCGTATTGCTTACAGGATTTATGAGATTTATCACTGTTTGTCATCTTAACCTTTTTTCATGTTTCTATTTACATAATGAAACAGGTGAACATAACATACAGTGATCGATCTCAAAAAACCTACAAACAATACAAATCTGTGAACAGGGCATAAAACACAGACCCCTGGAAACTCCAGAGGTGGGATCGGGTGCCTAGGAGGAGTAAACATCCGCTCTTGATCGGTCACATCCGCTTTGAGCCCTATGTATTGATCAAGTAGATCGTAATCCGTAGTCATATTCAGTATAAAATCAAAGGCCTAACGATGGTATGAAATATGTCAGTACAGAACAGAAACATGCTACCTCATGTTTCCCAGATAATGAAGAAAAAATTCCAAAGCATACCGAATTTTCAATATTAGAGAAAATTAGTTCCTCATGAATTAAATAATTATTTTCCTTGTGTAAGAATGTGAGAAGAGTTGTACACAAAGTCCTCCTCTGAAATAATATCTTCATAGTAGAATATAACATAGCTTACTTCCTTAATGATTTCAAATGTTTTTCACGGTAAATGTTATGACAATTCGAAAAGTGTTTATGTAATATATGTTAATCATGTGGAAAAAAATATAAACAAATATAGGCCATTCTTATCAAGAAATTATCATTGTACCATTGTTAATTGACAAATAATGTTTAGTTTTTTCTCCTCAGTAAATGAATATTTTATGTTTTACCGAGTTATTTTCCCTCAGATAATAAAAAATTTTTTTCACTTTAGAATAACGTCGATTGTCCTCTACGGATTCACATTTTTCTTCAGAGTTCGAGAAAAACCTTTTTTATAAATACAAATATGTCATGAACACCACAAAACTTTATCACTTATATGAAGGCTGTACAATAGATTTTTCATATTTGATACATCATGTTCTCCCGTAATCTCAAAACTATTTTGTTTCTATACGTAAAACTGTCTTAATAATAAAATTACGTGTGAAATATTATTTGAAATTCTGTTTTCAGTCCTCGTTATCATTTCTCTGATTTATGCAATCAATTCTTATTTCTGATGATATGCCATAAATTGTTTGTGTAATATTTATTGAATGGTTTAGTTCTAAGCTTTTCAGTCTATCTATCTATCTATCAATCTATCTATCTATCTATCTATCTATCTATATATATATATATATATATATATATATATATATATATATATATATATATATATATATATATATATATATATATATATATATATATATATATATATATATATATGTTTGGTTTACATAAGGACGAATACATGTGTCACAGTTCAAATTAAAATCTTGAATTTGTTTTGCATTTTTTTTTTAAATATCTGAGAAAAAAGTATTTTAATTTTTCTATGACTATTGTCAAACTAAATTTTGAACATTATCACACAAACCTGAAAGTGTGAACTATACTTTTTTAAATAAAAGCTACGTCAAATAATGTGATATACGTATTTCTGACATGACACTTACCAAGCATGCTCATTCCAATAGATGCGTTAATACAAAGGTTTCCATCTGGGCACAACCTATGTACATGTATGAAATTGATAAATAAATTGTTATATACTCACTCAGTGTATTTCTTCTCTAAGACGATGATCTTTGCAGTAACTTTTGTTCTTAGCCAATATTGAGTCAGTAGCGTATTTACTAGTATCTGGCAGGTATGATAAGCATTTATGACAAGGCAATTTTTAATGACAGCAAAATCACTCTCATCTCGCTTTACATGTACCTAATGTAGGTTTATAGATCGCCAAGTCATGGTGGCCAAGTCAAAACTGAAGCCCTGTTCTTAATCCCCTCATGTGTAGCAGCTGTCAATTATATCAAAAATCCTGGACATACGCAACGTACTTTGAACTTTATTGTCTTTTTCCCTGGAGTTGAATTAAGAGGTCCGATACTTAAAGGAACTGTGTGCTACATTTTAATGTCTATATAAGCTGTTGTACACTTCTTGTCAAATAAGTTGGGTAAAAAAAAGAATATATGTTTAGTATTTTTTGTATATTTTTCTTTGAATTATACAAGAATTTTCATCAATTGATATCTTTTCAAAACCCCTGGTAATGCATGCTCATTTTTTGTCTACGATCATCTGATGACGCTTTAATCTTAAATCAAGAATATCTTGAAAAATTATCAGTAGGTAAGGTACGTTGCGTATGTCCTTAAAGGGAAATATTTAACTAAAGTAACAATTATTGTTGTTAAATCGCCTACGAACTTCACTCGATATGTTCCGATTCTATGATCATATTTGGTGTGTCACAGTGAGTCACTCATGTTAACTATAAAATGGAAAATGAATTTATTGTATAAAGTTAAGCAGGTTTATTCGGAAATATTAACAAGTTCTAAAGAGATATTAATGTTAAATATACTTTGTTTATCCTTATATTTTTGATACTTTAGATAGGAAAATAAAATAAGGAAACGAATTAGCATACCGTTGCACTAATTAGGTCTGCACACTCGAGGTAAGAGATCAACGTCCAATTAAAATAATTACATGATTAATTAAATATCCTTATCGTTTAGCTATCACAATTAGGAATTCATTAAACCTAAGAATATACACTGGAGTGTGTTCGCCTTTAATTCATGTCTGTTTGTCTGACTGTCAAGGTTGTTTCTGATGACGAAAGGACGTTGTGGGAAAACACCGGCTAGTCTTTACTCGTTATTAATTTTCTGGGCTTTTGGGGCATTTTGCTGTTTGTCATTAATATTCTAAATTCCAAGCTCTAATTTTTAAAAGTTATTATTGTAATTACTTATCAGTTGAAAAAAAATCTATTTCAGGAAGTGTTGCATCAATTAGTTTTTCTGTCGACAGAATTTGTTCTGGGTTTTTTTCCACACTTTAAAAGAAAAAAAAATCGGTATTGGTTCAACTTTAAATACTATCAAGATGTGTACCACTTAAGACAAGAAAGGACAGTAAACAAATTGTGATTAATAAGTAAAAACTTGGCTAGTTTTGTCTCCAACATCACAAAAACTACAGACATTTCCAAACATCTTTATTTGAAAAATGGAATACAAGACACCTTAATTTGTTGATTTTTTTTTAAAATACAGAATACATTTCGAAGTATTTATTTCCATGTGTTATTTTGACATATTTCTTGATCCATCATATTACAAGATGGAGTCAGGGCAATGACGCCCAATCAAAAACTCAAGAATTTTTAGAAAATGTAAAACACCAAATTTTTCTACAGTGAATAACATCAAAATAAACGACTTTTCTACACTTTATACAACCATTCCTCACGATCAATTAAAAACGAGGCTTTATGATACAGAGAAAACTGGGGTTTTTTTCAATAAAGATGGAACTCGGAAACTTTCATATCTTATGATTAATCATCAACACAATTACTTTGTCAAAAATCGCTCTGATTCTACACAAAGGTACTTTGAAGTTGATATAAAAAGATGCTGGAGTTCCTCTGAAAACTTTCATGTAGTCTTTGGAGACCAAGTCTTCCAACAATCTGTTGGAATTTCGATGCATGGGCACTTATTGCATATTTGTTTTTATATTCCTCTGAGGCAGAATTTATTCAAAAACTTTTACACGAAAAGAAGAAAACACTTGCTGTACCCTTTCACTTGACATTCACATACATGCACAGTATATCGACGACGTTATATCAATTGATAATCGTTATTTCCATTCATATGTCGACTCGACACCACAGAGTCTGCCACATCTGTTTTATATTTGAATGTTTTACTGAATATAGACAAATCGATCATGGTAGCCTAGGTAGGGCGTTCGCTTTGTGATCGGGAGGTCCGGGCTCTATTCTCGTTCGCCGCGCCGCGTCAAACCTGAGACGTAAACATAGGTAGTGAATATTCCTTCACCAGGAGCCGGCACTAGGGGTGAAAGTCACAGGTCTTTCAGATGAGACCTTAAAAACCGAGCTCCTGGTAGGCACTGCAGGCGTTGGTAAAATAAAGATCCCTCATTACTCATTGGCCCTGAATGCCGAGTATAGGACTAAATTTGAAGTCCTTCGCCTCTCTACTTGAGAGAACAATTCTGAATGGGACGTAAAACAATATACAATCAATCTAGTGATAAGGGACAAC